GGGGCGGTCACTGACACTGTGACCCAAAATGGGTACCATCCAGATGAGTTGGTGCATGGATCATAGGATTGCCACGAAATCTTGGGGTTTCAGAGCACACCTGAGGGTTTGGTAATGGAAAAGGAAAGTGAACACCACTGGGAGATAGCCAAGGGGCTGGAAATTCCATAAGCAAAACCAGGGGAGACCAAGTGGTAGTGAGTGGTTTTTATGGGACTCAGGGATGGGGCTGAGTTCACACCTAGGTCACTGTGTCCCACATAGCAGCACAGGGTTTGCTCAGGAACTAAGAAGAAAAGGTGTTGATAAAGGGAAGCAGACAGAGGGTTTGGGGAGCAGAGGACTGAGAAGCCCCTGCAAAACTCCAGAAACTCAGGGGTGGGGGCCCCTGTCACAGATGTCACCATCTGCCCTCATGTCTGCCTGTGACAAGTGCAGAAGACTAAGGGCTTTGCCGCCTCTTCCTCCTCTTCAGGCCTCACGTGGGCATCCTGGCTCCTCACAGTGGCACCCGCTTACCTGGCCCCACGTGGAAACAGCTGGAGGCTGAGCAAAGAGGAGGTGGTGAGATGCTGAACTGACATCAGTCCACACAGAGGGCACAGTAAGATGACCCACAAATTGGAACAGAGAGGGAGTTTGGAGCAAGATGACACAAGACAGCACCCATGCCCCCCTGCCCTCTGGGGATCTGCAGAAATTTCAAGTGGGGGTTGGTGCTCATCTCCTCTAGATCTTACCGCACAGGGAGTCTGCAGCTAGAGAGGCTAATTACAATGGGTTTGCTAATGATTCTTCCATTGTTGAAGAGTTGTGGACACTTACCCACATTTCCAGTTGATGAGACTATCTTCTTGGTCTCTGGAATGGCACACAGTGAACAAAATATTCTTGCTTAAATGAAAAATAGGGACAAATGTGAACGCAAGACAAATGAAAAACCACGAGTAACCCTAACTAGATTCCAAACGCCTATGATGTCTCCCCAGTGATGGGATCCCCCAGATCATGATCTAGCATGTCTAGGTTCTGGAAGCCCATGGACTACAGCCCCACAACGCAGCATACC